CTAATTTGATCATCTAGGGTGCCTCGGCGTCGACGGCATCCAAGATAACCTAATTTGATCATCTAGGGTGCCTCGGCGTCGATGGCATCCAAGATAACCTAATTTGATCATCTAGGGTGCCTCGACGTCGACGGCATCCAAGATAACCTAATTTGATCATCTAGGGTGCCTCGACGTCGACGGCATCCAAGATAACCTAATTTGATCATCTACGGTGCCTCGACGTCGACGATATCCAACATATCCTCATTCCATCATTTAGGGTGCCATAGTTAACATCAATGACATATTTAACATCATACTTAACAACTCTAGTCACTAACATAGTTAAGATCATACTTAACAACTCTAGTCACTAACATAGTTAACATCATGACACCATAGTTAACATCATACTTAACAACTCTAGTCAACAACATAGTTAACATCATGACACCATAGTTCAAAGCTTACAAGACATAGTTCAAGGCTACACCCTACTTCAAATACTGCAAACTGCCACTAGTTCACACATTACAAGCCATAGTTCAATGCTTGAAACTTAAGATAATGACCCACATGGTCAGATTACAAATCACTCTTCATCACAAATATCCTTGATGTCCTTCAGCTTTCTCTTGTTCTTGTCACTAGCTTTGACAAGATCAGCAATGTGAAACTCCAAATTCCTCCTCTCAGTGCTCAACTTTTCCTTCTCCTTCAAATGAGCAAACTTCATATTCCTAATCACATTACCTTGGGCAACCTGAATGCTCCTCAACTGGTCAACCTTTTGCTTGAGTTCTTTGTTCTCAGCATCCATTGCACCCAGCTGTTCCTTCAAAGCTGAAATATTGTTGTCCAAAGGAGGAGTGATCTCCTCATGTTCACCTTGTTGGACTTCATTTTCCTTGGGAATATTGTCCTGGGTATCAAGTAGGTTGTTCACATCCTCAACAAGCTTCTCATAAGTCTCCTGTAGCTTGTTCTTCTGTGATGTGAGATTGTGGACAAGTGATGCATGTTCCAGACATGCCATCCTATTAGCACGCTGGCAATCCTCATACAAAAGCCATAGTTTGTGAAGAGCATTCTGCAGATGCTCTGGCCACTCCTCATCTACCCACTGAACAACACCACAGCTGCTTGCTTCCTGCAAAACAACAAGTACAAATGCATTTACTTCCTTTTTCACTTCACTTCTATTCAGTCCAATTCAAAACAACTATTGTATACTGCACATGCACAATTCTGGATTTATATCTGAATTTTTAACAGCATACTACACTGAATTTACTTCATTTATACCTTAATTCATTTAACAGCACAATACAATTCACTTCAATTCATTTATACCTTAATTCATTTACTTCATTTATATCTATGAACAATGCACTGTGATACTTTTTAACAACACAATTTACTTCACTCAGTCACTATGGATACCTTAATTTTATATCTATGTACTTAATTTTTAACAGCACAATTTAATTCATTTACTTCATTTATATCACTGTGGTGTTGTTCATTTATATGTATGAACAATTCATTTATTTCACTCACTCACTATGGTATGGTACATGATAGTACCTTTACCTAAACTACTAGGTGAACAGTGAACATGAACAATGAACAGTGAACATGAACAATGAACAGTGCATATGAACAACTTGTAGTTTCTTCACAAAATAAGCAAACTACAGATTTTTGCTAGCACTCACATCAAGTCCACAGGCAAGGAACCTCCTCCCAGTGCTAATGCCTGAGAAGCAAACATGCCTCTTTGCTGGCTGGCCATGCTCACACATCACCATCACCTCATCGTCAACACCAGAGTAGTTCGGGTCCTCGATTGTAGCCGGGATCTACATCAACAAAAGAAACGCACAAAATCCATCTCACGGGTTCAAAATGAGCAGGAAAAACAAAATCCCCAAACCGAAACCCTAGCTCAGAGATCCCTAGCTACGAGTACACATCACTGAGCTTGATAGGGGAGCCGCCTAAAGAGTACTCGTAGCCCGATTCCTCGCTGTCATCACTCCACGAAACCATGGCGGACGGCGGCGAGCTGGCTTCTCACCGACGGCGACCAGAGCCAGAGAGAGGAGACAGAGGAGAGGGGCGAGAGAGAGAGAGAGAGGGGGCGCGGGGGATCTGTCTGGCGAGCACCGACAGGACCGACCGGTGCGGCGTCTTGACCGTTTTGTTCCTAACGGCGCCGTTTGCCTGTCCGTCAAGCCACGTCAGCGTTTTCGGGGCCCACCTGTCGAAAAAGAGATCAAACGAGGCTAAACGGCTGTTCAGTGCTTTTTGTAACGGGTTAAGAGATTTTACGGTGTTTTTTGCAACATATTAACGACTTGGTAGTTTCCTGCAAACCTAGCCACAAATGTGGTGGTTTCTTGCAATTGACTCGACCAGATATTGATTGTCGTTCCATCACCAACACGGTATATGAGATCCTCCTTTAGCAACTCCACACCCTTCAGGATACTACGCCATGTATATGAGATGCCCTGGTGCGCAGTAGCTTTAAGTATGTTCGTATTTGGGAAGTATTTCGCCTTAAGCACTTGGGCACAAAGCGAGTCTGGATTGGACAACATGCACCAAGCTTGTCGGGCCAACATAGCTAGGTTGAAACCATATATGTCACGAAAGCCCATTCCCCCTCCTTCTTCGGTTTCGTCATCATTTCCCAACTCAGCCAATGCATGGTGTTGGTCTTATCTTGCTTCGCCCATCAAAACCTACAGATCATCGTCCCAATCTCTTCGCACAAAGCTTTTGTGAGATCGAAACAAGACATTGCGAAGGTTGGGATCGCTTGTGCACACGCTTTTATGAGGACATCTTTTCCCATCTTGGACAACAATCTTTCCAGCCACCCCTAAATTTTCTGCCATATTATGTCCTTAAGATATTCAAACACTTGTTTTCTAGATTGCCCCACATATACCGGAAGTCCCAGGTACCTTTCGTTCCACGTTTCTGCTCTAATATGTAAGGCATCCATCACTTCTCTTCTCTTTGATTGTCGTGTGTTCTTACTGAACATAATCGATGTTTTATCATAGTTCACAACCTGCCCCGAGCAAACCTCATACTACTGTAGAACATGTTGCAGAGCCATAGCACTCTCACGGTTAGCTTTCATGAGTACTAGGGAATCATCCGCAAACAGCAAATGGTTAATACTTGGGGCAGCATTGCAAACCCGGATACCCGTCATTCTTCCATCCATCTCCTCCTTGTGTAACAGGGCCGAGAAACCCTCCGTGCACAAGAGGAACAAATAAGGGGACAAGGGGTCCCCCTGCCTCAGTCCCCGTTGTGGCACAATCATCTCTGTGGTCTCCCCATTGACTTTAACTTTGTATGTCACCGAGGATATGCACAACATAATACGGCTTATCCACTGTTCATTAAACCCCATTTTATACATCATCTTCTCCAGGAAGTGCCACTCTACACGGTCATACGCTTTACTCATATCGAGTTTCACGGCTGCATATCCCTCTTTCCCCTTTGTCTTTCTCTTCATATAGTGTGTGCACTCGTAGGCCAGCAGTATGTTATCCGTAATTAGCCGGCCTGGCACAAAGGCGCTCTGATTTGGGGATATGATTTCAGGAAGGATCTGTTTCAACCGGTTAGCTAGAACTTTAGAGATTAACTTGTATACCACGTTGCACAGGCTGATCGGTCTCAAATCATTCATGCTCTGCGGGTTCTTTACTTTGGGAATGAGGACCACCACTGTCTCGTTCCATCCTTCTGGCATCGGACCACCATTCAGAACACTCAGCACCTCATCCACTATCTTGTCTCCCACCACGTCCCAACACTGCTTATAGAAGACCGAAGGCATGCCATCTGGGCCCAGGGCTTTCAGATCACCAATGGATTGCAAAGCCTGGTAAATTTCTTCCCTGGTGTACTCTTCTTGGAGGAGTTCATTCATATGTAGGGTAACTCAAGGCTGAATACATGCAAGTAATTCATCTTGCCTCACACCTGCACGTGAAGTAAACATATTCAAGAAATAGTTAGTAGCCACTTCCTTCATGTCCTCCTCTCTCTCTGCAAATGTGCCATCCTCCTTCCGCAACCTCTTTATTTTATTTCTCCTTTTCCTCTCCGAGGCTGACGCATGAAAAAACTTTGTGTTCCTGTCTCCTCTTCTCAGCCAGTTGACATGGGATCGTTGTTTCCAGTATGTTTCAAGTTGTTCCTCGAGCCGGTTCAGTTTGAATCTAAGCACACCCTCCCTCCGGGCTTGCTCGTCGCTGATATCCTTCCTTCTCACCTCTTCCAACTCCTTCTTCACCCGATGGATGCGTTTTTCCAGGTCCCCCAGTATGTTCCGGCTCTAGTCGACTAGATCCCGCATAACACCCCGCATCGCTCCCGGAACCTCCTTTCCTTCTCCCACTACCTCCCGCTCCCAGGCATTCTTCACTATCTCCTTGCATCCTTCCTCCTCTAACCAATTCGCCTGAAACCTCGGATTGTTTGCCCCGCTCGGTCTCCCTCTGACTGTTGCTACACCCGCCGTCTCTATGACGATCGGCCTGTGATCTGAATGTCGGGGATCACCATTAACAACTCGATATGATGTGAATCGGTTGCGCCACGCTTGTGAGGCCACTGCTCTATCAATCCTCTCCTTAATGTATCTATCAGCTGTGTGACTATTATTCCTCCACGTGAACGTGTCGCCAACAAACCCGAGGTCTCCCAGTTCACAGTACTCAAGAGCCTCTTTGAATCTATCCATATACACCTGCCCCCTTGGCACACCACCCTCTTTCTCCCACTCATGTAACACCTCGTTGAAATCACCCGCACAGAACCACGGGATATTGTTTTGGTGCTTTAGGGTTCTTAGGAGTCTTTACGTTTTTTGTTTCTCCTCCATCTTTGGCTCCCCATAGATGCCTGTAAATCTCCACTTAAAACCATCCTCTTCGGTTATCTCAGAGTCGATGTGGTATTTGGACATGAAACCCACTACTCTCAGGTTAATCTCCTTCCAGAACATCGCAAGGCCACCACTTTGCCCCTCACAATTTCGCACGATCATACATGTCATGTTCATCTTCCACCTCAACCACTCCAGCCGTCTTTGCACCATCTTCGTCTCGGACAAAAACAGCACATCGGGGTCCTCCTTCTATTTTGACAGAGTAGCTTTTTAACAGCTCAGATATTTCTAGCGCATAAAAGCAAGTACAATGGTGGGCTTACAGCCCGCTTACATGCGAAAATTGACTTTTCGGCGCGGGTGCAACAGAGCACTTTATTTTAAAGTTCAAAAAGGCACATTTTTACGGCTCGAATTTTTTCAAATTTTTGTGTGCATGAATGTATAGCAATGCAGTATATTGGGGCAAAATTTCAGCAATATAAATGCTTACATGTAAAAGATACAAAAAATACAAAATACATGAAAATTAGGGGCTTGTTTTTTGGTGTCTTTGGGCAGAAAAATTGTCTTTTTTGTGCAGCGCATAATACAACGTATTATTGAACGAAATTTTCACGGGTACTTAGACCACATGCATGCGTATTCATGTAAAAAATCATTTAAAAAAATATTTTAAGCATCTTTTTGTAGCAGTTCAAAATAAAGTGCTCTATTGCCCCCATGTTCTGAAAATCTGTTTTAGCTTACATGGCACTTTTGCCTATATGAAGGAGAGAGATGTGAAAACGTAAGGGGAGTGAGCTCTCATGCAAGAGCCTAGCTATATACGCATTCCATAGGTAAATGCAATAAATATGAAGAAAACGATAGAGAGAAGATAGTAAAAAGTTCTAATGTAACAATCAACCTTATAGGTCATATTATTGTATGAGTGTCTATAGATGATAGCTATAGATGATATGACAGTTCTTTATAGCCATCAGCTGGCTATATTATTAACCATGCTCTAACATATATGTTATTTTTTCATAAAATTATGCATGCAATTGAAGATATATGTCAGAAAAAAATCTGATTTTTTCTTTCAAACTATTTTTTATGGTTTAACCGTTCATCAGGGAGACGAGAGCATATTTTCCCGAGAAACAAAATGACATCTCCTCTCACCATTTTTTGTTTTTTTTCCTTGCAGCGCTTCATGGAGTGGTGCATTATTTCCCCAGTTTCTGAGTGAGACAAGCCATGTGTAAAGGAGGGCACACTTATTTTTCAGTTTTCTTTAGTATGCTAGAAAGTTCTATGGGCCATGCTGGGCCAAACATGGGCTGCTAGTTGGTGGAAACGTTGATGCAAAGTTGTCTACATATATATAGAAAAGATGATTATCTCAAAAAGAAAAGATGAGATAGAGGAGGGAGGTGAGCAACAAGTTGGAGGGTACCCCGTGTGGGCATTGTTTTAGAGCATCCCAGCGCTGCTATGTCGCGCATTGGGTGATTCCTGCATCGGGAATATTTTTTCTATTTTAGATTTTTTTTTTTGTCTTTGTCTTTTTTGCGTTTTTTTCTTCTTTTTTTGCTGTTTTGAGTGTGGAGCACAGTTATGTTTCCAAGTGAAAGCATAGTTGTGCTTCTCGTGTGAAAGCATAATAATTATGCCACCCCCAAAAGCGAAGCATAGATGTGCGTTCGCCTGAAGCACAATTGTATTTCTATGCTTCCACAAAAAGTGGAGCCCAATTGTGCTATAGTTGTGCTTCGGCATGAAGCTCAATTATACTTCTCATGTGAAAACTATAATTGTAGTTTCCCAATAGTGAAGCATAATTACTGCAGTTTTTTATGTATAGCTATGTACAATTTTGAACCACGTCTCAGTACAGTTTTGAATCACAAATTTTGCCCCAAAAAAGTGGTCCAAACTTATCAATTTGGGAGAAAAAGAACAGCGAAAACAGTTTGTGATTTGAATACGGTCAAGAGATAAATTATTGTGGAAACCGAATCTATGAAAAAAGCACAAATAACCCGCCCATCTCTCCTATCCATGGAAAGAAATCCCACTAAAACTCCACAATGATGAGAAATGGTGCAATGCAGTGCGCCACTTATCACCACCAATG